TTGTCGCTGCTGCTGCTGCTACTGAGCAGTGCGCATGCGCCATTAGAGAAGAACAGATAGTGCCACAAATTCTTTCTCTCTCTCTACTCGCCGGATCTTTCCGCTTACAGAGATTCCTATGGCTCCCCTCCTCTATTTATATTATCTCTATGTCGGCAGTACACAAAGAAATGCATTGATCAATCTCTACTTATGTATACTTCGTTTGTGATATTACTTCGTTAGTGGTGCTGCTATGCTAGGCATGGTCAGCGAAGGCGCATGAGGGGAATAGTAGTGGGGATCGAAATACGGGCGAAAAACAGGGGAAGCGAGCCGTGCGGGAAAAATTATCCCAGCCCTGCCCGTATGGCCAAATCAGATAGGCGATTTCGGCAAGGTTGGGCCAAACACACATTGGCAATACATGACGCTTCCTGCGCCAAGAGTCTTAGCCCAAGCAGTAATATCAGATCTTCGATACACAACTGGTCAAGATCAAGTCCGCGATTGGGATCTTCCCAACGTATTACGACCTGATCCAATTGTACCAGATCCAGCGCGTGATATCGTGATATGACCAGGATTGCCAACTGCGAATCTGCTTGGCTGGAATAGAGCTACGGATTTGTCCTTGGATCAAATCGTCTGCATAGAAGACGCCGGCATAACTAATGACGGATTCGGAGGACGAGGTAGGTTCTGCCTGAACACCCATTTAGTGAAGAGAGTTCATGACGCCTTGAACGGCTCTGCCGATAAAATAAAGCTAGGCGGAACGATAAGCGATCAGCCCTTCGGTTCACCAGGACAACTTGTCTAGTGGCAACGGGGGTTCGTTTATGAACCTAGCTATCTTCGGATATATCCCTATCTGGACGCAGAACTGCGTGGCAACTGTATGTCATAGTCATACGTCGATGCTCACGTTGTTGGATTATGCGTTCGTAAAGACAACTATATTGTTGGAGAACAAGAGCGACGAATCTGGGCATGCTATGATTGGAATAATTACGAACAAGTTCCAAATACTTGGAACGAGACCCGTAATACAATCTTTACATGGAGAAATTCCGATCTTCTGAATGTTGTTGAATTTACATACAGGATCAAGCCACTCGGCATCTAACTGTAACATCACCAAAGTGTGTTAAGTGTGGGGAAAATCACTACACTTCTTCATGTTCTAAACCACCTGAGGTTCCTCCAAGGTGTGCAAACTGCGGTGAGTATCACACAGCTAACTGTTCAAAATGTGTAACTTTAATAAATTACCTAAGTGCA